GAAGAGTTTGAGAAGAGATCAATATTGAGAAAATCTATGTGGTCACTAAAATTGGCACCAACTTGATAGCACATAATCGTCAATCAATAAATCACAATAATAATACAAATGTCTGCTTCAGATTTATCCAAGTCCTGGATAAATCAAGTTGTTTATACAAGTTCTGGATCCCCCACCCACACAGCCAACCAAATAGTACAGTCTAGTGTCATGATGGCAAATCTATGGCACGTGTGCCAGAGGTGGCATGCAGCACCCTCTCTGATGGCTCTCAAGCCGTCGCCCCAGTTCAGCTCCACTGCGTATGCACTCACACCTCCCGCCGGCCAGCTTGTCTTCGGGTCTTTGCTACGCATGCGTGGGGGGATCACGCATGCATGCGGGTGTGTGTGTGCATGTGTGGGGGCATGGGGTGGGCCACATGCACAAGCGGGGGCATGTACATATGCACGGGGGGATGTGTAGGGGAGCATGGGCAGGGGCCACACGCGCATTTTGGGGATTTGGGCACATGCGTGCTTTGGGCACTCAGTCTGGTCTAGTATCTCTGAACTTTCTCGCTCTCACTCTCGTTTTCTCAATTTCTGTTTGCCTAATCATTTATTGTATTTCCAAGATTTCATTTTTTCAGAAGTTTTCTTCAGTGCTTCAAGTGTGGAAATTTTTTTGTTTGCTTTCCCCACACCAAGCTTTGCCTTTATTGTCTTTTTCTATGTAATATTTGTCTATTTTTTCCCATACATGAGCCACCTCTTATCTTCGTTTGCCAGTATTTGTTAGACATTACAGTCTGTCGCTTGTTCAGCTGCTGTGTTTCAAAATTATTCCTCATTTCTCTTTGTGTTCATTGTCAACATTTGTGACACTTCTTTACACCTTCTGATGACTCATACCTCATTTGGTTCCCGTGCATGGGCAAATAGCTGCAGAATGTTTCCCTGTGGACCATTGTTAGCTTTGAGAAGCAACACACACTCGTCTCTTTAACAGGTTTTGCTTTTTTAATTGGGAGGCACAAGGCAGCACTTCAATGCAATATACAGTATTACTGATTCAATAATAATTTTTGATCCCACATATGGGAAACATTGCACATTGGATGTAGTGCATTTATTCTGACACCACCTGCCATGGACTCTATATACCTCTATAAATTAATCTTGGGTAGAGAATATGTCTTGCATTTTTTTCCCCTACCCATTCTCATTTAGTCTGATGAAAGGTAATTTGATTTTGATTTTTTTTTTAAGGTGAAGAATTGCAGTGAAATTCTTATGGGACAAGTGTGGTGATCCCCACTTCTTTAATCATTAGGTGACAGTCTTGCCTTTAATTAACCTTCACTCTAGCAGCCAGCAGCTCTCCTGACTTTTCCCATTTCAGTGCATTCCCAGCATAATCTTCTTGAAGAAAATCCTTCTGTGGTGCTTTCTGAGTCCTTTGCCTGCAGATTTGGGCCAGCTTTTCAAAAGGCCATTTCTGTTTATTTGAGCAGATCTCGGAAAGGGCGTTTTGGTTCGGCAAGCTTGGATTGAAGCAGTCATCTGAAGCAGCAGCAGAGGCTCCTTCCCACTGGAGTAAAACAGCTGGCATTTGAGCCTCAGGTTGGAGCAAGTGAATTTCTGAGCTGAGGTATTGTCTTAAATTGTCTCCTGCAATGATCTGCATTAGGAGAATGCCTTAGCATGGGAAAGCACTGCTTTGCACAGCTCTTGTATTTATATCCTTCCTAAACTATTGTCATTTTTTTCACTCCATCAGCATTTTCCAATTCCATTGTTCCCCCAATTCCATGCCTGAAGTTTCATAACTTGAAGCTCTGTGTTTTCCCCACTTATAATGGCTAGATTCTCCCATAGGGAATATTTTGTTTTGCTTATCATAAATTTTATTTCACTCAGTGTTAGTTTACTCATTTGAAGTTTGCATTGTTTTGTGTATCAGTTGAGCAAAAATGCGACTGGTAACCAGTGGTTATAAATCTGATTTAAATGAAGAAACTCTTAGGCAAACCAGAGGGGAGAAAACTGGACAGGAAGGTTGAAATGTTTTGTGTAGCATTCAGTGGTGGGTTTCAAAATATTTTACTACTAGTTCTGTGGATGTGGCTTGGTGGGCGTGGCAGAGGAAGGATACTGTAAAATCTCCATTCCCACCCCACTCCGGGGGAAGGTTACTGGAAAATCCCCATTTCCTTCCAATCAGCTGGGACTTGGGAGGCAGAGAATAGATGAGGGTGGGGCCAGTCAGAATTTTTACTACCGGTTCTCCGAACTACTCAAAATTTTCACTACCGGTTCTCCAGAACTGGTCAGAACCTGCTGAAACCCACCTCTGGTAGCATTGTTTATTTCTAGCAACTGCATTTCTAGCAACTGCAGCATTTCAATGCACACCGACATGCTGAAGAATAAAACCTTGATAATGAGGTTGATGTTTGATGTAGTTAATACCGGTAGACTTGATAAAATTGGTAAACTGTTTGTCTTCTTTGGCCATCCTCTTCTACTACACCTTACTAATAGCCATAGAGATTCAAGCATAGCTTGCCAATAGTTTTTTCCTTCTATATTCTAACTCATCTAGAATACTCCTGGCCCTCAAAAGACCTTTGATCTGCCACTGATGTTGAGGGTGTTCATTCTTTTGCTTACAGCTAGTCCTCCTCAAATCCTCCCTGCTTTCTTTCCATTTGCAAGTAAGTAAGTAAATGTTCAGGAGCTTCTCACTTGCCTTGTTCATGTTCTGCCTGCTTCTGTTGCTTTCTCTAGTTTCCTGAAGATTCTGTTCTTGCCAGGCTGAAGGGCAGGGCAACATGCTAGCAGCAGAACAACTTGTAATGGCAGAATCTTTATCCTCACTTCTCCATAGCTGAAATTACCCTGCCCAATCTATGAAAACGTTTGGGCGTGGAATGCTGTTTATATGTTCAAAAGTGCATATGGAATTGAGTTTGCATGAATGTCTGTTTACAGGTACACTGTTTACTTATTGCTTTGCATCGCATACCCATAAACTAAAGATTGGCCATTCTTATTCTGGCTAATCCGTAGTAGAATGAGATGACCCAAGACTTAATTTGGAGCCCTTCATAGATGTCAATATGTTTTGTTTCAAAATATGGTAATGCAGATTTTCTGCTTTGGGGCTTATTTTGTTGAATGGGACACCATACTTGTACTACCTCTCTCTATCCCACCTCCACTCCTGGTCATATAAGGTCAAATGAAAGGAGAAAAGAAGGTTCACACTTCCCACAGAAAGGACTGGAGGCTGAATTAATCCTGCAGAAACAGCCTCATCTCTGGCTGTAGTCCTGACCGAGGGATTCACCTCTAAAAAAAAAGAACTCATGATGTTGCATTCCTCATAGAAGCTGCCAATTCTTTCCGACATCAGCACATTCAGTCCTGATTTTGCTAATGCTTCATACACCATTAACCTCCTATGTCTGTGCAGTGGGCTGTTCAGAGATTTCATTTTGATAAACATAACTAATTGTAAGGGTTTTTTTTCAGGCAAGCTGTATAAAGCTACTTCTTGTCCCAGATAAATAAACAAACAAGCTAAATACTGGGTTTTAATTTTGACTTGCATAAAGCAGTGTGAAACTAGTAGTGTTGTGGTTCAGTTCTTATAAAAGTGATATTTTATCTTCATTTCCATTCAAAAGTCTTGAATTCATATGTAGCTTGCATTCAGGGTCAAAGGGGCTCTGGGCAAGAATATGTGCAATTTTATGGAGAAACTGCAATCACAAAGGATTTTTGTTTGTTTGAAAAGAGTTGATTTGTTAAAAGTAAAGAGGAGACTTCTTATCATCTATGGTGAACGTGTGATAAGGCAAAAAAAAAATGGAGTATATTTTATATTTTAATTGAGAAAATTTCATAAAAATGAAATCAGAAATTTTCCTTTTGGACCTAATGGAAAAAGACTTGGAGAAAAAAATTGGAACGTTGCTACTATATGTTGACAGCAGCAAGACTATTGTATGCACAAAAATGGAAGGACACTTTGATTCCCGCTATGGACGAATGGTTGCAGAAGCTGATGGAGTTGGCTGAAATGCCGAAATTGACTATTTTGGTTAAAGAAAAGACTATAAATTCTTTTGTTTCCACATGGAGACCGTTTCTGAACTTTGTGCTTGAATTGGAAAAGAATGAAACTTTGGTTTTGGGTTTTACCAATAAGACTGATAGATCCTTATAGAAATGGCTAGTTTATATTATTATGAAAAAACAAAAAGTTGTGATTTGATGTTAATGCCTTGTTTTACTGCAACAGAGAGAATCGGAAGTCAATGCTTCTTTTTATTTTTCTTAATCCTTCCTCACTTTTCTCCCCCACTTCTTCCCCATTGTTTTCCTATTTTCTTTTGTATTTTGTATCTTATTTCATCTTATAACTCAATAAAAATGTTAACAAGAAAAAAAGTTGATTTATTAATGTAACTTTCTTTTGTATTTATTATTAAACCTCTGCTTTACCTTGATTTTTAAGGCTGTTGTAATAAAGCAGTTAGACTAAAGGCAAATTAGCATTGATTTTTTGGGTCTAACAACCCAATAATAATCTCTCATTTAGTTCTCACTTTGATTCACATCATGTTGACACAAGAATGGTATACAAGAACTGTAAATTGATTATTTAATTTCTTTTCAAATTTTTGCACAGAACATATCTATTATTTATTGATTTATTTGATTTGATTTGATTGTCTTTTTAATCTTCTTTATTTGCTTATGGGCAATTATTTTAGAATGGGTTAATTAAAGGATGGAATAGAGTTTTCATCAATATGTAATTGAAGTCATTTGGAGCACAGTTAGAGTTACTGAGGAAAGAACAGAAAAAAAGAAACCAAAGAGGAATCCCATTCCCGATGCACAGGTCCATAGCCTCATTATCTCCAAACGATTAAACAATATGAATGTTTTCGTTTGATTTGCCTATCTAGCACATTCTGTTAATTAAGATGTATCTCTTGGTGGCAGGTTCTGGTTTCAAGAAGCCATTTGACCATGGAGCAGGACAGCAATCCAGATGTTGCTGCATCAAGGGAGCAATTCACTCAAGCTGGAGATTAGAATGAAGACTCATATGCCTTGGCTTTCACATTTCTCTCTCAACTCATTCTTTTCTTTACAAAATAAAAAGCACTGGAGAAACAAATCTTCTGGCTTCAGTTACTTTCTGTCTTTTAAAAGAACAAATGCTGAGCATGCTAACTCAATCAGTTATAAACCTCTTGGTTACAGTTCTGATGGCTCACGCTGAACCTAGGCTTGGGAACTTCATCTTTTGGCTTCAAGTCTTTTGACAACTCAAATTTAGTAGAACTGATTCTGTAATGGATGCTTGGTTGCAGAATCTCCTCCCTTGACATCACAGATTCCTTAGTTGTTGTTTTTTCACTCAGACACTTCCTGTATTTTGAGGAAATGGCAGTCTGCTTAGTAGATCATATTTTATATACACTACTTTGCATACCATGTTCCGTTCCCTATATTCTATCAACACAATACAAAAGTTAAATTGCATCTGCTAGCTTCATCATTGGCAGAAAAAAAACCACATATATAACTCCATCTGTTACTTTCCCAGTCTTGCATATAGTGAGATGTATGTGTACAAACTGGCTATGTTCACACATTTTTCACCTGGTTACTGAATTGTCTTATTTTTTTGGTTTGCACAAGACATTGAAGCAGAAACTAATCGAAGAGGCTGGACTAATACAAGTTACTAAGCAACTACAACAACTAACCAAGATTAACATTGAACAAATTTAATAGAGTGAATCAGTGGTGGCTTCCTCCCGGTTCCACCCGGTTCCGCCAAGCCGGTAGTGGTGACAATATGACATCACCGAACCGGTTCTGCCCCCCCCGCCCCTCTGCCCCCCCACATTATTCTTACCTTTTATTTGGCCCCACCCCCAATCTATTGCTGCCTCCTGAGTCCCAGCTGATCGGCTAGAAGGGAAAAAACTGTTTAAACTCTTGCCACGGAGCTTCAAAGGGCCGCCCTACAGCTGATCAGTGTTAAAAGGCAGTGTGGTGGTAGACCAGTGCCTCCAAAAACAAATGAGTAGACCAGTGCCTCCAAAAACAAATGGGTAGACCAGTGCCTCTAAAAACAAATGAGTAGACCAGTGCCTGCAAAAACAAATGAGTAGACAGGTGCCTGCAAAAACAAATGGGTAGACCAGTGCCTCCAAAAACAAATGGGTAGACCAGTGCCTCCAAAAACAAATGGGTAGACCACTGCTTCCAAAAACAAATGAGTAAACCAGTGCCTGCAAAAATAAATGGGTAGACCAGTGCCTCCAAAAACAAATGGGTAGACCAGTGCCTCCAAAAACAAATGAGTAGACTGGTGCCTCCAAAAACAAATGAGTAGATCAGGGCCTGCAAAAATAAATGGGTAGACCAGTGCCTCCAAAAACAAATGAGTAGACTGATGCCTGCAAAAACAAATGGGTAGACTGGTACAGCTCTGCAAGCAGTTAAAAGCTTGGGAGACCAGTACCTCTGCTAAATCCTAAAGAATTGTCACATGACCATCAAGCCACACCCACAAAATAAGCCATGCCCACAGAACCGGTAGTAAAAAAATTTAGAACCCACCCCTGGAGTGAATGTAGTAGTTACGTTTTTAACCGAACTGCTTTAATATGTGATTTGAATACAGTCATTTTGAGCTACAGGCCTAATTCCATTCCATTTTGTAGTACACAAGGATTAAACGCGTGTATGAAAATTGGATCAGATAAGTTTTGTGTTATTAGTACAAAACATAGCATGTATGTTCAAGGCACAACTCTACAATTCAAGTTAGAATTCCAGCTTGATCCTGAGCTACAATAAAGTAAAAATATAAAAATATATATTCAAAAACAGTGGTAGATTTTAAATATCCTTTCCCAACCCAATGAACATACCCAGTCTAAATGCCAGCCAGTCTCTCATGCACATTTCAAGGAGATCTGGCAGGATATAAAAAACTATAACACAATATCAACCTTGAGCATTGAACCCGAACAATGGATCTCACTGTGCACTTCTATGACATAATTTTCAATTTCAAGTTCAATATCAACCTGACCCTTTGCATTTATTAAGAAGAGAGAGACAGATAAAAAATGCATTTTAACTGCAAGAGCTGCAGTGAGTCCTCTGAAATATTGTGATTTATAAGTATGGCCTATGACTGATTTACCAATGCCTCATGCTGCATTATCTGTCAAGGGAGCATCTGTTCAAATTTGACTGGCTGCTTTTGCAGGCGCTGGAGTTTGTGAAAAAAGAATCTTTCTCCATAGACTATTTATTTTTATATAATGTTCAGCTTTTTGTGGAAAGAATTGCTACAAAAGCATTTTTTTTATAATGCTGGGAATACCTATAAATATTTCTGAACTTCATCAAAGGTTTGCTATTAAAAGTATTGGGGTGGACTGCTTTGTTTGTTTCCGAAATACCATCCATTTTCTGCTATAAAAACAAGAGGATTTTTTATCCAAAAAGTCAAATGTTTCATTGCTGTAGTTAAAATATTTACTCATAGTGGTATGAAGTTCAACTACCATTTATTTTGCCAATGTATTAAGAATTAATGTAGGAAGCTACTTTAGAGTAAGTCAACACAAACATGGATATATAATATCTTACTAGTTTCTTTCTTCTGTAGTCTTCTTTCAAGAAAGAGTTGATTTGCTGATGCTTAATTAGGATTCTAAAACATTTAGAATTAGATTAGAAAAAGATGTTTTAGGACCTGGGAAAAGATGGAGCTACCTTAAAATGGTGCAGACAGGTGTTTCAGAGTATCTTTTGATGACTGAATCCAAAGTAGTGCAAGTACTACTCAACAAAGTATGATACAGCAATAAAGCTTTCCTAAATGCTTTAAAACAGCCTTCCCCAAGGACACTCATATTCCAAGGACATGTTGGCTTTTGGAGAATACCAGGTTGGGATGCTATCCATAGTAGCAATATAAAGAAATTAGTCATCAATTGCCAAGAAATTCTTTTTTTGAGCCCATTGGGGAAAGGAAGGAATATAAAGGAAGAAATTTTGCCCCAAATCCTATATGGAGAAAGGTATGGTATTTAACCAAACCTTGTAGGCTCTTCTAGAAATGCAAGAGGTAACCCTACAGCTATGATTTTAAATATTTTTGTATGAAATCATCTTTTAAGAACAACGCAGCCAAATGCTCTTTGAATAAAAAACCATTTTTGAGGGAGAAAGAATACCTTCCCTGCCTCCTTTCTTGTTATGTTGTATGAACAGAATTCACTCTTCAGCAGATTTATACCAAGATTTACCATCCTGTAAAATCTGTATCCACATAATTAGTCTAATATGACTTGATTGAAGTTCTAAGATTTCATGTGATATAATCAGACAACATAGTAATTTCAGAAATAGTAAAAGGTTCAGCACTAATATTGTTTTCATGCACTGCATATCTAACTGGTATAATATATGCCATACAAAGAAATAAATCTGCAATTCCCAATGCATAATTATACTGTTTTTCCTACTTTACTGAAGACAGAAAAAAAACTAACAAATCTGTACTAAAATACGTTTTTATGTGTGATATTTTTGAGTCTCAGAGTCTGAATCTGTTATATAAATTAAACTAAAAATACTCTCCCTCTTGTTCTTTTCCTCATAACCAAAAATGCAATGCTGTAATAAATCACACAGATGACTTACACAAAGTTGCTCAGATGAATTTTATATCAATAACTGTTGCTCACCTCCCTTTGCCACACAGAACTTTGTGCATATGTGATTGGATGCAGAGAGTAGAAGATCCACCAGTTCAGATCAAGGACACTAAATTTTTACACAGTATCCCCCATTTTCATAACCACATATTCAAAGTGGATGGGTAAAAATGCCAATGCATATTTGGTGGACTTAAAAAAAAAAACAGTTCTTTGAATTACAGCAGGGGTGTCAAATTCAAGGCCCGGGGCCCAGATCCAGCCTGTGGGATGCTTAGATCTGGCCCACGGGGCTGCTGTGGAAACAACAAAGGATCAGCCTACAGTGCCTCTGCCAGCAAAAATGGAACTAGGGAGGGTTGCGCACAGCCTTCCCAGGCTCCGTTTTTGGCCACGATGGTCTCCTGCAGCCCTTTGCCAGCAGAAATGGAGCCTGGGGAGGCTGTGCGGGGCCCGTCCAGGCTCCATTTTCACTAGCAGAGGGCTGCAAGAGGCCATCGTGGCCAAAAATGGAGCCTCAATGAGTGACATCAAGCTGGCCATGCCCATCCCGGCCATGCCCATTCTAGCCACACCCACACCCATCCCCTTGAGGTCAAACACAACCTTGTTGCGGCCTTCCATGAAATTGAGTTTGACACCCCTGAATTACAGGTGTCACTCATAATCAGTTTATTTATTATTTATTTATTTATTATTGCGATTTATATGCTGCCTTTTTCCCTGGGACCCAAGGCAGCTTACAAAATGACAAATTCCAATACAAATCACAATGAAATAAAATTAAAATCAGCAACCCTATTAAAACAGTTTAAAATTATGACAGTGTACCCCCAAACGGATCAGTTGAGTTGACGGAAGAGCCACGTCTTCAGCTTGCGACGGAAGGAAAGAAAGTCGGGGGCTGTCCTGAGCTCGGTGGGCAATCCATTCCAGAGGGTTGGGGCTCCCACAGAGAACGCCCTCCTCCTGGGGGCCGTCAGCTGACATTGTTTGGCTGACGGCACCCTGAGGAGGCCGACTCTGTGAGAGCGCACAGGACGATGGGAGAGCGGCTGGAGATAGACCTGCAAGTACCCTGGACCTAAGCCATGCATTAGTTGCATAATCATTAGTTCATCCAAAATAACTAAGGGAAAACATCATTAGAATCCAGATTTATTTTGTTTCCTGAATGGGTAAAACAGTTAAGAACAGTAGAGAAAGCAAAATTAAATTCTGGGCATTCTATAAACCAATAATGAATCACTACAATAGGAGGAAGAGAAGAAACAGTTTCTTTTGGGAGTCACCCTTGAGTCCAATTGCTGAAGGCATCTACTTCAAGATAGCATCTAGCAAAGAAAGGCCTTCTATTTTAACAGTTTGTATT